TTGACACCTTCTGGGAGATGGAGCGTTTCCACAGCCCATTGCCACCCAAGCAGGACAGTATGTGTGAAGCTGGAGCATTTCAGTTTTTCCAAAAAGTTTCTTAAAATGTTTACAATTATATTAAAGTTTAAAAGAAGGGAAATCAGATACTGGCAAAGAATAACCATCACTTCATTCTTGTTATGTCAGACTTACACTGTTGTTTATGATGATCAGTGACTGTCTGGATCCCTATAAGTGCTTCAGACAAAGCCACAAAGCCGTAGTGGTTTTGTGGTGTTTGGGCGCTCCTATATAGCAAAGCTAGGCTGGATTCCCGTTGCTGAGTTTGTCAGTCTGAGGACATGCCTGCCAATCGTGAGAGGTTCGTGGGTGGTTCAGTAGCAATTTATTGGACTGTTGTCTGATGATAAAGCTGATCAATGCAATTTATTCTGCAGCATAAAAATTGCAGGCCTGTTTTCACGGATAGCAATGCTAAAGCCTTTTCCCTGGAGGAGGACAAACAAAAGGAAATCTGTACCAAGTATCTAGTGATCTAAGGAGAGATCAGAGAGTGATAGCGTTACAATTACAAATGATGAAATGCACACTTGTGCATATTGCTCAGTAATATAGCAGGCATTCATTTAAGGGGAGTTTTTCTGCAGCATACAGCATTGAAAACACATCTAATAGGTGCATTCATTTTAATATGCTCATTCATTGAGCAGGCCTGATTAATTAGTGCATGTCACCATCTGGTACTTACTGAGACTATTCATTTTTAAAATGTTGAAATTGTAGGGAATGTTGCACACCAATTAAGTTCCTTTTAATTGGATTATGTTAGTATAAAGTATTACTGGAGAAGGCCCTCATTGTGATTCAGCCAACATGCATCTAAGGGAGACCCGCCAGCCTGAAATTACTTAGAACAAAGGGAATATGCCTGAAATGCATGTTTATTACTATCTTTGTGCACTCAGCAAAGACTATGTCCACAAGTAAGAGCCACAAAAATACTTCTGCATTTCTACGCAAGGTTCAGTTTCCTAACGTGAGGATATCTCAGCTGATTACTTCATCTCTGCACTGCAACTCTGAATCTGTCATCTTCTCCCTCTGACCTGGAAAGTGAAATACGCTTGTGTGTTTCTGTTTGTTTGATATCAAGTTAACAGGGCCAAACTGAGCCCTCCTGTGTGCAGTTGTGTATCTGCTGAAATGAGGAGCATTAGTCTCATTTACACAAAGAGTGATTTGGCCTTTAAAGCTGATAAACTATCTGTGCTGACTCAACCATTTAGTGAATGAAGTATCACGATCTGCTGGCTGCAGCATATTGGGAGCAGAACTTGTCTGTCTGTGCTTGTTCCTGTCACTGTGACTCACTTGGTGAATTTTAGCTACTTAGCGTCACTGCACTGCAGTGTTTCCGTGTATAAATTGTGAATAGTTATGTTTATCAACTTACATAAAAGGTGTTGAGCTAGAGGGATGAAGTGCACAATGTTGACATTACATATTTACTGTTAACGCTTTCTTTAGAAGCCTAATGCTGGTTTGTATTTAACATGTAAGGTTGTTATTGCCTTGATTTTGTGGAGATTGAATATCTTCAAGTAAGTTCTGTCATCTGAACTACTCACGTCAGAAGAGCCAGGAGCCCTGCAGCGTCCACATTCCTGTTCCTTAGCAGTTAAATGGGCCGTCATGGAAGCAGGGAAGTTACGGAAGAAAAGACACCTGATCACTATAGCAGCTTAAGAGATCTGGTCTCGTTGGCCTTCTTTGTTTTGAGGAGTAGGGTAAGAACCGAGAAACGAACAATGTCAGGATATTATTTTCTTGCTCTATTTGTGTGCGTTTTCCTTACCTTCCGTGGACTCTGCTGCCCCCTACCAAGTTGCAGCTGCTGTTAACAGCAATGGAAGTGATGGCCTGAACACGTGAAGAATGTTTTACATTTTTTTAATACTGAAAGAAGATTTCATTTCTGTTATCACTCATAATCACTCTCACTGTAATTATCACTCATAATAGGGAATCTGTAGTTGAAACAGTAAATGTATTTTCTTAAAAGGGAGAGGAAAACATCAGAAAAATTGCTTTTAGTTGTACAGCAATGAAGAAACTGTCTGAATTTTTGTCAGAATGCAAATACTTGTTTAGACATATAAAGGTCAGTATGAATTTAATTTGAAATAGCACAGGAGTGCTTCTGATTTTAAGTATAGAAGGAGCACAATGTTGGAATTCTTTTGTTAACATACATTTCCTCTTGTTTGAAGGTGCGTATTTCCTCTTTGTTACAGCTGCAGGCAGCGTCAAAGCACGCGACAGGAACTGCTCATCCTGCGCGTGCTGAAGTCAATTGGAAACCCAGCTGTAGTTTATAAACCTGAGAAGTCAGTGGCTCTTGTCTGTTTCGGAGACTGCGTCAAAAATCGCATTAGAGAGCGTGGTTGTGTTTAAACCATTTCCATTAGGTATTGGAGTGCAAAAGATCTAAAATATCTGTACATTTCTTAGGTATTCTCTGTGTACAAGTTACATGTCTGCATTTACACAGACGTGTCAACGTGTATTTTATTTTTAAGCCAAACTGCTGCAGGTGGTACTCCTGGGATGTGGGATGTATGTCTGCACAGAGCTATGACCTTGCCGTAGTTTTTACTCCGACTGGAGCATTGTGTTGTGGTTCTGCTAAGCTTCCCGGAGTTCACATTCATATGTTGAGTGTAGCACTCATTTGGGTTAGAGGGAAACTGATTAGTATCAGTGTATCTGAGCAAATGAGAGGGAGTACAGCCTGTGGTGAAACATAAAAATGTAGTGAGATGGAGGTGTGCAAAAGAGTGCTTTCTCATTTCTACCCCAACATTATTAGCAGAAAGTGCTTAGCCTGGAACGCCATAAAGCTGTCTGCTTTGTGATAGGATTCTAGAGCAAGTGCAGTTCATGCGGTTTTGGAGAAATAATATCACCCAGTTAAATCTTAAAAACCACACGCGTATGCACTAACCCTTTTGTTTAAGTTGTTTGTTCAGAGGTTTAATGTAGCAGAGAAATATATTTTTCAAGAAAACATTTAGTTTAGATTCCCATTAGTGTAACTTTACTCCTTTTATTTGTTAAATACATGAAAGGAAGTAGCTCACCAGGGTATAAAATTCTAGTATGTGTGCTTGCTTCCTCTGATTTTAGGAGAATTATTTCTTAATATAATTTTTCTGCTTACAATATATAGGCTTGCAAAATGTTGAAGCAACAAATCTTGGCAGAGATCAAAAAAAATGCAAAGGCATTTTACTCTGTATATATAAAACAAAGGCTGAAAGTTTGGGCAGATCTCTATCTGGCAGACTATCTATCTCTTAGGTCATACAGAGAAAGCTTTTGGCACCGACTTTTTGGCAAAAAGCTTTGTCTGGAAACATATTTAGTCAGCATATGAAATATGATAGCCCTGGTACCACAATGTGTCTGAAGATGCTCTAATACAGTTAGACTTCAGCCCCATCTGGTGTTGGAACAGGATTGCTATATCAGAGTTTTCCAGCATAGGACAGCCCTTTGCCAAAACACAGAGCAGTGCGTGAGGAGACTGACAAATTCATACAAGTGTCAGCTTTGCTAATGCTTTCTATTGTTTGCTACCCTGATGGAAACCAGTTGTGCCCGTGGTGAATTCCAGCACAGCCATCCTGCTGCTGAGTTACTAACCACAGGCTCTACAGAGAGCTGCATCTTTAACTGAATGGGTTTATCAATACCCTTCCAGTGTACCTATGTGATCAGCACGTATATTTTCATCCGAAGCCTGTAAGAATAGGAAATTACTGATTTTCAATGCCTGTGTTTACAGAAGTAGCAGTGGGCATACAGATTCTTTCACCTCCGTAAAATGTCTCCAACAATTTGAGTTATGCAACAGTGACGAAGAGACCAGACTTGTGGATTTGGCTTGGAAGGCTTAAAATCTTCAGGCATTAACTCATGAAACTCTCAAATCCTGGATACTCCAATGACTTTAAAGCACAGCAGATTCATATTTGGTTTTTACTCAAGGCTGATCGTTTCAGGAAATAAAAAGACTCACTTTGAAAAAGACTTTCAATTCTTTTTCAATTGTTATATCAGGGGAGGGAGGTAGAAGAGCTACATGTGAAACAAATCAGGGACTAAAAATCCATAGCTTTGTTTTGAGGATATAAGAATGGCTTGTTTGCCACTATTGTAAGCTAAAGGAGAAGAAACAGTGACTTCTAGAAAGATTTCCCCAGTATTTTTATCTGACTTTTTCAAGATTGCAGTCCAGCCTGTCTCTTCAAACCAAATACCTGTCCAGTTATAAGTAGACTCTGATGAAAAAAGCGCTAAAATGGCAGAGTTTGGAATTGGTTGAACATATTTTGTCACTTAAGCTGAGCTCATTCACATTCGAAGCTAAAACAAATGATCTCAGTTGCATTTAGGAGAGTAACCATACTCTTACTTTCCTGTCTCATGTTTTAGTTATGTTGAAAGCAATGTGCACTAATCTTTGCTTTTATATCCTCTTCCTAGCATTTGTTTTATTGGGCAAAATTAAAGGTCAATGGTCCTGAACTAGTCAAGAGAACTATTCTAAAGTCTCAGTCATTGCCACTTCTCTCTCTCTCTCTCTCTCTCTGCTTTCAGTAATACAGAGCTTAGCTGCCAAGGTTTTAATTCTTTATGTATGAGAAGAATGATATTTGCAACTTTTTTTGCATTTCAGTTATAGTTTTGTAAATTTATGTAAAAAGAGCTAAGGCATCAGCAAAAGGCTACTTGCTTATTCAGAGTCATTTGTACTGTAGAAGAAGTAAGATCAACCTATTTTTTTCCCCTGTTCTCCTTCTCATTCTCTTTTGTGTTTCAGAATGATCACTGCTCAAAACACTAGCCTTACGAAGTGAACAGAGTGGAAACATATGGATGAAATTCTTACCATGCACTGAACAGCACGGCATCAAGCGCAAAGCTCTGGGAAAATGTCTGCTTGCAACACTTTCACTGAGCACGTCTGGAAACCTGGTGAATGTAAGAACTGCTTCAAGCCCAAAAGCTTGCATCAATTACCCCCAGTATCTGAAAAAAAACCCCTCTCACATGGAAATCTGAAAACCAATGCAAACCAAAGTAACAGCCATCGTGGGAGAAACACAGGAAACTTCCGACCACCTGTGGCAAAGAAACCCACTATAGCTGTGAAACCCACCATGATGGTAGTAGATGGGCAGGGTGTATGTGGCGAAACCAGCACGCCGGATCATTGCGAGAATAAATCGGTGCCTGCAGGTTGGAACCGAAACAAAGCTGTCTTGAACAAAAAACCACTGAACAATAATAATGAAGATGAAATTGAAGGTTATAGCCATGTTCACAGGCCTTATGGCAACAATGATGGTGTAGGTAAGATACCAAATAACAATAATAATGGACTGACAGAAGTTTTGAAGGAGATTGCGGGTTTGGATACCACACCTCAGCTAACTGGAAATGAAATGAACTCAAGAGAAACCTTCTTGGGAAGGATAAATAATTGTTATAAAAGATCATTAGAAAGAAAGATCCCTCCAAGCTGCATGATGGGTGGAATGAAGGATTCACACAGTAAGCACGTTATTCTGAGTGGAAGCACTGAAGTAATAAGTAATGAAGGTGGACGTTTCTGTTATCCAGAGTTCTCTAGTGGAGATGAGAGTGAGGATGACACGTTTTTTGGCAGCATGCAAGAAGAGCATGAGAGCTGGGATGAAAGTGATGAAGAGTTGCTAGCAATGGAAATTCGTATGAGGGGCCAACCTCGCTTTGCTAATTTTAGAGCTAACACCCTATCTCCTGTTCAGTTCTGTGTTGACAAAAAATGGAATACTGTGCCCCTTAGAAACAAGTCTCTCCAGCGGATCTGTGCAGTAGATTATGACGACAGTTACGATGAAATTTTAAATGGTTATGGGGAAGAGACTGTGATTCTTTATGGGCAAGAGAGCATGCAGAGCATGGTGTCTTCTGATTCTACATCTCCCGATTCTTCTTTGACAGAAGAGTCTCGTTCTGGAACAACCAGCAGTTCTTCACAGAAGCTCTGTAATGGAGGCTTATCTCCTAGTACTCCTCAGGACCTCAAATTGATTGAACCAGAATATGAAAGCCTTTGTGATAATCAGCAAGTGAAGGATGTGTCAAAAGCTCCCAGAAATGTTCCGAAAAGTCCAGAAACTCACAAGGCAGTCCTTGCGCTTCGACTGGAAGAGAAGGATGGCAAAATTGCTGTGCAGACTGATAAGCAAGAGAATAAAAGTTCTTCAGATGTTGCTGGTCAAGCTGTAACTATAAATTTGGTGCCTGTAGAAGAGCAAGCTAAACCTTACAGGGTGGTGAATATGGAACAACCAGTTTGCAAGCCATATACCATAGTAGATGTATCAGCTGCCATGACCAATGAATGTAAGGAGAATCAGACTGAAACCTCAGAAACCAGAAATACATCATCTAGCCCAAGCTCACCAGTAACTCCAGGCACACCTATTACATCCTCTGCAGCGTCGCCTGTACGAGTAAATACTAATCTGAAAAAATCCAGTGCAATCAGATATCAAGAAGTGTGGACTTCTAGTACTAGTCCAAGACAGAAGATACCTAAGGTGGAGTTAATTGCTAACAGCTCAGGACCTTCTGTTCCTCCCAGGAAGACAAGCCACAAGTCAGCTCCTACTTCACCCACAGCTACAAACATTTCTTCAAAAACTATCCCGGTTAAGTCTCCCAATTTATCTGAGATAAAATTCAACAGCTACAATAATGCTGGCATGCCACCTTTTCCTATTATCATTCATGATGAGCCCACTTACGCTAAGAGTTCCAAAAATGCTATTAAAGTTCCTATTGTAATCAATCCAAATGCATATGATAACCTGGCTATCTATAAAAGTTTTCTAGGGACCAGCGGAGAACTATCCATCAAAGATAAAACTACTAGTGTAATAAGCCACACATATGAAGAAATAGAAACGGAAAGCAAAATGACTGAAGCCATAGGAAGTAAACCCACTGAATTTTCCCAAGTGAAGGGGGTGACTAATAGCTCTGAATGCAGGCTGGGTTCTGTGGCTCAGAAGGTCCAAGAGTTTAATAGCTGTCTCAGTAAAAGTCAGATATCACCACAGAGAAGTCATAGTTCTGACCACAGCTCCCCATTGAGAGTTCAAAAGACAACACAAGAGCCTGCAGCAAAAATAGATGTAACACCAGAGGCTTCCGTTGGCAGCAGCAGCGGTAGAGAGAATGCAAGCACGGTGCTTTCGCAGATTGTGGCTTCTATCCAGCCTCCTCAGTCTCCTCCAGAAACACCTCAGTCTGGACCCAAGTCTTGTAGCGTACAAGAACTGTATTCCTTACCCCCTGATGCAGATGCTACTAAAAACACCCTGGTACGCCCCAAATCTCTGTTTACGTCACAGTCTGAAATAGAGTCACCCAAGGTGGTCGAAAACACTGCCATTAAAATGCAGAAAGAGTCACCTTCACAGCAAGTTGCCACTCACTCTCCAAAGCCAATGAGAGCCACCCCAAATACCACAAGTCCCAAAACAGAGCAAGCACCGCCATTTCCTCCTCCACGGTCCACTTCTTCACCCTATCATGCAAGTAACTTGTTGCAAAGACATTTCAGCAATTGGACCAAACCAAACAGTCCCACCAGGTCGACAGAGGCTGAGTCAATCCTTCATTCCGAAGGTCGCCGAGCTGCTGATGCGAAACCCAAACGCTGGATATCGTTTAAGAGCTTCTTCCGCCGCAGGAAAACTGATGATGAGGAAGACAAAGAGAAAGAAAGAGAGAAAGGAAAGTTGGTGGGTCTTGATGGAACTGTTATACATATGCTCCCCCCTCCTCCAGTTCAACGTCATCACTGGTTCAGTGAGGCAAAGTCAGACTCCAGCGAGAAGCCATCGATTGTTTTCATGTATAGATGTGAACCAGCAGAAGCTGAACCAAAGTCTGACTATCAACACAAGAGCGGAGCGGAGTCTGCTATCGCAAGTGCACTAGCAAAAGACAAAGGAGAAATGCAGGAAAAGTCTCCAGAGAGCTCTGAACAGAAAATAGCGAGCCATTCATCACCACCTCAGATTCCCAAGAAAATCCCCAGGTAATCTGCTCATCTTTTTTAGTCACTTATTCAGTTGTGATCTGTCCTGTATATACTGCTGAAAAGGGAAGAAATTAAGGAGTTTTATTACATTAAGTGTAATTTTTTCAAAGCATATTTAATTTAGGTAACTTAAAGCGTATTGGATATCAGAAAGGATAAAAAAAATACTAGAAACAGTACCTAATATTTGGAGTTTGTGTTGCAGATTCACTAAAATGTCACAACAGCCATGTTACATTGAATCAGATACATTTTCCTGAATTTCTGGTTTAAGAAAGTGTTCTTATGTTATAGGAAAGTAAAGAATTCCTCTGCAGAAATAGAAGGCAACTATTGAAAAGTATAATAGAAATTAAAAGATCTGTGACTCATAAAAGGTGGTGTGCTAACTTTATCTCACATACTCAAGAATACAAGAGATGCTAATTAACTTGATGCTACACTGCAACATCACTGCAGCACTCCCAAAATAAACGATGTAAAAAAAGTAATAATAGAATTAAATTATCTATAAAATAATCTGTCTCCATTTTGCAAGGCCTTTAGCGATGAATATACCTTGTCCCCTAACAGTACTGGATTAAGTAGAGCTGGTTGCTCTATTTCTGTCTGACAGTTTTGTTCAGTGATTTCATTTTTAATTTTTTTTACCTCAGAATTTACTAAAATTATTTGTTGTTTCAATTTCTGTGAAAGTATTTGGCCAGTAGATATTTATTATACTCCTGAAAGTTCATGGTAGTTAAACGTTTTAGGTTTGTCTGTTGGTTTAAAGGTCTGTTTGTTCCCTTATCAAGGGTACACATTTTCTTGGTTGTCCCTGAACACAAAGAACTGTGTTTATTTCCAGATATGCATTGTTTTCAACATACCACCGAGTTGCTACAGCTCATGACAGTGCATAACCTAAGAGGGCTGGAGTCCTTTGTTGCAGTCAGTCACATGGGCGTAGTATGCATTTCCCTCAGTACAGACCACAGCTGTCGATGTATTAGAATGTCTTCCAATGCTATTATACAAACCAATTCCAAAATAGCTTCAAACTTGCATTATTTAATTCTTTGTAACAATAACCCAGTGGTAGGACATTAAAAATTTTGTAAAGTTTGAGCTATGTGTGAGCCTCAGAAAGTGTGTCATGGCAGTGTTCTTTGTTTTTCTTTCTCTGTTGTCTGTACAAGAAAGTCGCAGTGATTTTTAGTGAAAATGGTTTTAAAGTTGACTTAAACTAATAGAAATCTCAGTGTGAGCATAGTTTGAGTTTACTGTAAAGTGATTGCTGCTTGCCTTAAAGTAAAATAACTACGTCTTACGCTAACCAAGAGTGACCATTTGCGCTAAGTGTAATTAAATGACTTCTGTATCACACCTTGGGAGTGCTGATACAGCATTCTCATGAAGATCAGGACTACTTTTCAGACTGTTTGCCTTTTGTCAGACTTGGACAGGTTTGGGTTTTGTAATGTAAGGTGTTGACAGGGTTTATCATAGTATGATGTAAAGCTGGTTTTTGTAGATTTACATTTGAAGTAGTTGCTCCAAATACAAGACAGGATGGTTTCCAAAACCTTAGTGTACTGTCTGTTTCTGCAGACTTGGATGAACTGCAATCTCAGGGTCAAGAATTTTATTTAAAAAAAAAAATAAATTAACAAATAGGGTTTAAAAAAATCCCATTACAAATTGTGGGTGTGAGTTTCAGAAACATTAAGCACTTTCACAAACTGTTAAAGTCAGTAGGAGCTCTAAGCATTCAGCATCTCTGCAAGATGTACAGTAGCACAATAACACAGGGGTGTGGGCGATGACAAAAGGGGGTGTCCCTCTATTTACAGTGCATGTTACAGCATAAGGCTGAAGACAGTGGTGAATATACCCAGGGCTAGAATAACCCTTGATAGGAGTCTAGTCTCTCTAGACTTACCCTAAATTAAATGAGAAGTAGGCAGCTTTAGAGAGCAAGTCAAAGAATTGGAGAAGTTTGTGCTCTCAACCTCCCTTTAGAGGAACCCATTTTTTCTGTTATCTCCAGGGGAACCTAGAAAAAAATGAGGTTGTACCAACATTTTTTTAGCAGCATTACCGAATACATTGCCACCAGGAGAGTCCCTTTCTCCCGCCTCCTTAGTGCCCTGCTGTTGTGCTGGCAAGAGAGTTCATGTGGTCACCTGTGGTGAGCCAGGCTGGGGAAGTGATCCAAGGGAAAAATAACTTTGCAGTTCTTTTCCAGCCGGATCAATGGGCTGATCTGACAGGGGGACCAGTCAGGAAGGAGCATCTGCTTATCTCGGTGGTAAGAGGGCAATAACAGGCTAATGGCTGCGGTCAGAGTTGGCACTTGTTCTTAGACTACCCTAGAGATGGTGCTGTCACAACGTTTTATGTTTTTGCACTATTACCAAAATACCTTCTGCCCTTACTATTGAAGGCAGTTGGTCATTCTGTCCTGCCCTATTCACTTATTCCAAAAAGTACGCTTACTCTATTTTTCTGCATGATGATATTGGCTAAAACCGAATCGCACAATTTTCCTAGGTGAAAATTGGAAATTTCCAAATGTTAGAATTGGAATTTCTTCTTTCTAACAATACTGTTCTATAGTTTCTACAAATTTCAAAGAAAATACACTGAGACATGGAGAAATACATTGTGGGAACACAGGACAGTAGATATCTTTATCCTTCAGTTATTATATGCAGTTACCTTGATGCAATTTGATGCCTTAAGTTATTTGGGTTGTTTACTTAATTTTTAATATTGTTAAAGAGACCAAGTGAAGCCTTATAGTGCCAAAAAATGAAGTTAATTTTTTTTGTTTAAGGGGTTTGGCTTTTGTTTTTAATATCCCAGTAGGTGAGAATCAGGATTGTCAACTTCCGTTTTTCCACAAGCAGGAGATGTAACAGAGGAGATACTATACTTGTTTTGTGTTAACTCTTCAGGCATTACTAAGAGCTTAGTGTTAATTCAGGCTAAAATATGTGCACGGAAAAGATGTTTAAAATCTTCAGTTAAGCTTGCAGAGGCTTAGTGGAAAACAGAAGACGTAGATAGCAATCAATGAACGTGACACTTCTCTAACTGAGAATGCCAACAAAAGTAAGCTCACTGAAAAACCAAATTGATGACCTGGAAAATAAGATAAGGTTTAAAAATGTCAGATTACGGGGAGGGGATGGGGACGGGGACGGGATGTGTCTTGAAAGCAAATTAAATTAAGATACAATATTTCCTTACTTTGCAATGTAGCATAGCTGCTAAAGATTGATAACATAACCACAAAATAGGGCTGAATGTATTTCAAGTTATCACTAGAAAGGTCAGTTTTTCCCTTTGAACAGCACTTTCAAAATACTCAGTTCCTTGGAAAGCTGGAAACTCTCTCTCTGTTATACAAAAGAACTTGGTGTTGTTTTATCCATGTGATTGTTTCTTTCTGTTTGGTGCCAGGATGCACATATGATGGTTCAAAAGGAGCTAGCAAATACTAATGTATTAAATTTACCAAAAATTTGTAGATGGATTAATTTTTGCTAAAAATCACCAGTCACATCAGCTTTAGCATTAATTGGAATGAAAATCAGGTGTTCTTAGAACACCTGTCGTACATGATGCAGCAGTTGTTCTCAGGCAAAACCTAAAATTGACCTCTAAAAAAGATAATATGATATTTCTGGCCTAAGTCATTGTAGCTGATGAAGGTGGTACAGCCCAGTGTGGAATCCACACAGAGGTTTAAAAACAAGATTCTTCAAAGTCTTTGTTATCTAGCGGATCAGACTGTTGCTATTGGAGTTTCACAGGATAAAGGATTCTCTTCTCCTTCATTGAGAGATCACTGCTTATACCCAGTAGCAGCTTTTTACATCGAGACCTTTCCTAAAAGAAAACTGCAGCACAGCCTTCTGATTCTTCCTTTCCTATCTTCATAAACCACATCAGAGCTGAACTAAAACCTCATTCAGCGCTGTTTTAGATGGCAGTGCCTTTGTAAATCAAGGTACACCTGATTTGTGCGCAGCCGTTTCCATTTCAGTTATGTATTAAACTGAATAGTTTCCTTTGATAGCTACAAGTCAGCCATAACTTTCCTTTATAGGATCTTTGGGCCAGACTTGGATGAACTAAAGATAAAACTGTATGTTTACTGAAATACTTCCTTCAAGTAGTGAAGTGTATATTCATTCTATTTTGGTTTAGGTAAGAAAGCATTTCTTCATAGCTAAGGTTGGGATTACCAATCTAATTCCTAAAATGATGTTAACTTTGTCAAAAGGATTTGAAACCAGGCTAGAAATCGATAGATATGAGTTCTGTTGTTCCATAGCTACAGAAGATCGCTATCCTCTTATAGAATCATAGAATTGTCAAGGATGGAAAAGACCCTTAAGATCATCAAGTCCAACCGTTAACCTAACACTGCCAAGTCCATCTATACCATGTCCTCGAGCACCGCATCTACCCTTCTTTTAAATACCTCCAGGGATGGGGACTCAACCACTTCCCTCGGCAGCCTGTTCCAATGCCTGACTACCCTTTCGGTGAAGAAGTTTTTCCTAATATCCAACCCAAACTTTCCCTGGCGCAGCTTGAGGCCATTTCCTCTCGTCGTATCCCTCATTACTAGGGAGAAGAGACCGACCCCCACCTCGCTACAGCCTCCTTTCAGGTAGTTGTAGAGAGCAATAAGGTCTCCCCTCAGCCTCCTCTTCTCCAGGCTAAACAACCCCAGCTCCCTCAGCCGCTCCTCCTAAGACTTGTGCTCCAGACCCTTCATCACCTTCGTTGCCCTTCTCTGGACACGCTCCAGCACCTCGATGTCCTTCTTGGAGTTAGGGGCCCAAAACTGAACACAGTACTCGAGGTGCGGCCTCACCAGTGCTGAGTACAGGGGCACTATCACCTCCCTGGTCCTGCTGGCCACACTGTTCCTGATACAGGCCAGGATGCCATTGGCCCTCTTGGCCAATGTCTTGCTTGCTCTTGTTTTGTCTTGC